TGAAGATGTTTTGAGGATCTTTTGGTGTCCTCATTGTGGCAATTTATTTACATAGGTTAAACTTACATGGGTAATTTAATTGACAGTCTATGTTGATGTTTATTCTATCTGTCCCCCATTTTCTGCTGTCAAGAGCTTGTTAAAGTGAATCTAGTTGAAATTGCCTCAATTGAAAGTCATACCTTCTAATTTTTATCCTTTTGTCTAATTTGGTAATGATTTTAATCTTTGCTATAATAATTCAATGGTCTGATGTAAACAGAAAGTTAATTCTGAAATGACTTCCACATTGGTAATGTTTTTTTCTTATCTGTTAAAATATAATAAATTTTGGGGCAGCTAGGTGGTGCAATGGATAGAGCACCAGCCCTGGAGTCAGGAGTATATGAGTTCAAATTCGGCTTCTGACACATAATACTCACTAGCTGTGTGACTCAGGGCAAGTCACTTAACCCCAGTTGCCTCACAATATATATATATATACATATATGATAAATTTCTTTTTAGTGATGTTATCTAGTACTAACCATGTCTAGAATTTTTTATTCTCTTCTTGAAAAAAGTGTACACAATATATAGGTATAAAGCTTCTGTGTGATTTCTAGGCTTTTGTCCTTTGTTGTTTCTTACCGTTGAACCATGTTTTCCAACTTTTTTTTTACTTTCCTCCCTTATGTATTGAAAGTACCAAATATTGAAGTATATGTTGATTGAATTTGGAAGGTCTTATGAGCTTGTTGTAAAATTTCTCTACCTCCTCATTCTTACGTTGGCATATAAATTGCAATTATCTTGTTGGTGGCCTTTTTGCAAATGCTTAGCAAGCATACCAATGTAGGAGATGATTAACTATCCAATGAAATTATGAGGTTTTTTTTGGACAAGATAAAAATAACTCTGCCAATTCCTCTTCTTCTTCTTTTTTTTTTTGTCTAAGGAGGATATGTGAGTTACAATTTATTTTTGTCTTTTGGTTTCATTTATAGTTATGATTCCATTTCCCCAACAGTATGTCCTTTTGTTGGTTATTAGACAAAGACATCACATTTAGAGTACTGAATGCCAAGCTAATGCTTATACAGTTTTTAAAATGTATGATTCTTAGAATCCTCTGCTCCTTTTACTTTTTTTTTAAAATTCTATGACTTTTGCTTTTGTTTTTACACCACAGATATTCCTTAACATTTTCCCTCTCCACAGAACTTTCCCTTTTCACAAAACAAAACAATTAAGCAAAACCTCATCTGACAGTATATGCAATATTAGTCTGTCCTCTTTTCTGCCACCATCACTACAGAATTAAGAAAGGGACATACAGGACTGATGTTCATTTTGTACATTTCATCATTTCATGGGTTTCTATGGCCAAAGAATTCATCACCAAATGACCAACCTACTAGTAACAATCTTCTCCCTATTTGGTTAAATTGATCTTCAGAAAACAGGTAATATTGATAACAGACATATTATAAACTCTCCATATCTGAAACTGGACGTATTTTGCATAACTGAGTAACTGGAACAACCGAAAAGAAAAGAACAATAAATAAGAACCCCATAGCTCAGGCCTAATGGGGTGACTAGTTGAAGTACACCTAGCAGTCATAGCCATTATCCATTTTTCATGTATCTATTTTTAAAATGGTCCAGACTTAAACTGTCACATTACATATACCATAACCTCCATGGTTTTTACAGCTGCTATGGGTGTTTGCAATAGCAGCACCTCAGGCAACTGACAGGGTGGAGTCATCAGGGAATATTTCACAGGCATCTAAGGGGTGAGAGTAGATGCCTGAGAAGATTCTGGAGTGCACAGTACTTTGCCCAGTAGACTGGAAGGACTACTAGCAATGACAACCACTGAATTCCTGTTTAATGTTACTCCATATAATTATGCTTTATTATAATATTGTTTTTATAATTCTGGATAAGTGGAAGTTCAGGGAACTGGAATAATGGCCACCTTAAAAGCATGTTAAGAAGATAGATGATTGAGTACAGATAATTGAAATTAGATCATAGAATGTATATCAAAAAGTGATGGAGATCTGAAAAAACATGCAACAAGATAAAGATATAATACAGGTATGAGTGTGGTAGAAAGAAAGAATTATAAAATGTTAGAACTGAAAGGGATCTTAGATATCATCCAGTATTTCTGAATTGTTTTCTATACCTACCAATAAATACCTAAATTGATCTTGGTATAATTGTAGGGAATGAGGTCATGAAGACACCCCCCCCCATACACACACACCAATTAAAAATGACTCTATCAATGTTAGCAAAAGATATGTGACAGACCCTGTTGACCAGGGAGTCTCAATTAGTTCCCTGTAATCAGCCTCTCAGTCTCCAGTGCTAACCAGGTTGATCATAAGATAATTGCTTCCAACATAGTTTCTTTGGGTTGGGAGGGAAACTGCATCTCCTAACTCTCAATGATGCGCCATGGAACACAAAAGGAAATACTAATTGGAAAATACCAGAAAGAAAAATGATAACACTGATTGAAAAATGATAAGTTGATGTATAGAGAGAGCTGGTGGAAGACAGTGAGTTAGATATAAATCACAATAAAAAGATTAATTAAAGATATAAATAATAACTAATTATATGATAAAGTATAGAATAAGAAATTCATAGAATATTAGAGCTAGAAGGGACTTTAGAGATCATTTAGACCAGAGGTTCTAAACCTGGGGTTTGTGAATTTGCTTGTTTCTAAGAAATATTTCAATAACTTTGTTTCACTAAAATTGGTTTCTTTTGTAGTACTATGTATTTTATTTTATGCATTTAAAAACATTACTCTGAGAAAGGGGTCCGTAGGTTTCACCACACTGGTGAAGCAGCCTATAACACACACACACACACACACACACACACACACACACACACACACACAC